TCTCTGGCTAATTCCACCCAAGCTATCCACACACTCCTTCAGTCCACAGGAAATTTCTCAGCATCTGCACAGCATCAGTGTCCCTCTTCACTGCCAGGCCTCCTGTCAGGCCTTGTGTTGCAGCCCGCCTCCGTGTTCAACGTATTGCAAGCCACTCGTCAAACTCTGGCCTCTGAAGCATTGTTTTCATTTTCCCAGTGTGACCTGTCCGATGATGAATCAATTACCGTAAATTCTATAATAATGGCCAGGTCCTATATACCTCAAATGCAAGCACTGATAGAGAGAGATCACGTACATTTGCTGAGGTTCTATACTCTGGTGTGTTTGACATATCTGTGCTACGTTGAGTATTTCTATTTTATGCATTTGTGCTCTGTTCCACTGCATTTCAGAAAGAAATATTGTATATTATTTTGCAGATTCAGATTAATAATACAAATATTATAAACAAATTAACATGATATATATTGTAGACTGACTCATTGTGCACGTCAATAAATTATTTGTTCACTCAGATGAAGTCTCCCCTTAATAAAAATAATAAAACGTGTCCATTGAGAAATGGCCCCAAGATCTCTGGGTGTTGTTGAACCAATAACGAAATCTACATTAACTACATTTTATTGGCTTTTTTCCCATGTTCTCATGGTTTGGAATTCCCTCACATTGTCTTTTTTTACCTTCTCTGTTGGTCTGTGCAGAGTCTAGTAGTCATGTGTCTAATATTTGCGAGACAATCTGGAAAGACTGTGTGCTGCTGTCTGTCTGAATGGTCTTATAAAGGGGCATTTGGTATGTAAAGCCCAGCTGCAGCCTTCCACAGCAGCTGCGAGAGTAAGACAGAGGGTGTCTGGAGTCTCCTCTCAGCAGGAATTCCTTATCTCGTAATGACTAACTGGCAGAAGTGAAGTGTGTGTGTGCAAGAGGGAGACAAGGGGAGGTAAGAAAGCATAAAAGCAACTCATTACAATGAAGGGCATTGGCAAGGTAAATACATAAAGCATGTGACACACACACATACTTACACACACATGCTCTGCTCTTACACTGACAATAGAAGGTCCAGTACTAAATACAACTGTGACTAAAATACTAGCTCAGTCCTTTCTCAAGTCCTTACTATTTGACCTTGATGGAAAACATCAACAGCTGATTCTGATTCTCCTCAGAGTGTTGACAGTCATTGAGCTCTTTAAAATCATTACAGAGTTGAGCTTGTTAAAGTAAATGTTCTTTATTTCATTGAATGTTTTACTTTGTAGGAGGAAGTTCATCTCTGGCTCAGCCTCACCTGTCCAACACACATCTTCTGTTTTCTTTTGGTCGCCATGGTTTCTTGTGTCTTCCTGTTTGGAATGCCAGTTTGTGTCACTGAGCCTGTACCTGGTTAGTATCTGTGTCTGCTTTCTATCTCTGACGGCAGAGACAATTTATGCCACTTGATCTTTTTTTAGGGCCAGATAACCTTCTACATTTGCTATAACCAACAATAGGAAGAATTGGAGAAACACACACTGTACTGACTTTTTGTTTTCTTAGCACCGAATCAGGTGCGTATCATGTGGTTGAACCTAAGATAGTCTGTGGCTCATGAGGTAGAGAGGGTTGCCGGCGGTTCAATCCAAGCCATCCTTGGGCAAGATACTGATGGCTGTTCTGCCAGTGTGTGACTGTAGTGTAAACACACTGCTATACAGAGCAGTCAGTCTTAGCTGTCAGAATGCCAATTAATCCTCCTTGAAGTATGATCTTATGAGATGCCATGGCCTTACATCACGGAATATCTTGCAATGGAACCTTGTATTTATTGATTACTTGCTAAAACAATGCTTTCCCTTCATTATTTATCCTTCACTTTTCCATGGGTGCGGTATGGAACACTTTAGATGTGCTGTGGCCATATGTATTTAGACTGCGGCCTCACAGCAGGGGATAACCATGCTCATCTGCAATGTTGTCTACCGACTTACAGAGGAGACAACCCCTACCCATGTCTGGCAGTAAACAACACATGTAACGGGCAGGTAACTAGAGCAAAGGGGTGTACTCACTTTTGTTGCCAGCGGTTTAGACATTAAAAGGCTGTGTAATGTGTTATTTTGAGGGGACAGCAAATTTACACTGTTATACAAGCAGGACACTCACTACTTTACACTGTAGCAAAGTGTCATTTCTTCAGTGTAAAATCAAATATTTACATAAATGTGAGGGTGTACTCATTTTTGTGAGATACTGTATTTCTATAGCACCTTTTGTATTACAATATTTATCAATAAAGCATGACTGACTTATTCAAAGATTTTAGGGCTAGAACCCAGATCTCTGCTGACCCAGAACCGCAGAACCGCTCTGGTATTGGAATTGGTATGGGGAGAGTTGTTATTAGCAGTGCTATTGTTTGAAATTGTTTGGACTACCTAAGACAATGTGGACACTCATAGTCACCAGTGCTCCCACTGGATATGTTTTAAATATTAGAACAAACAGCTACAGTGAGCTGTTAGATAAAGAGCTGCAGAACATAGGCTCTACCTCCAACACATCATCAAAGTAACAACAACTTTTACTCTGACATGATGTCCTGTGAAAGTCAGTTGTGTTGTGTGTGCACATTACAAGATCTATTTGCTCACTGCTCTCTTCCCACTTTCAGAACTAGCTGCTCTAAAACAGTACAAGCAGGCTTTTTCAACTTGGTGGATGATGCTCTGTCGGACCTTGTTGTGAGACTCCACATATCCACCTTCAGTGTCCAGTGATGCTGTTGGAGAGGGTTTTTTATTCCAAAATACAGTTTGGAGAGAAACACTGAACTCTTTTAGCAACTGCAGGACACCAAGGACACAATCCAACATCCCTACTGAATATATGATAAAGCATTTCACTAATCTTCCACTTCACTTCCTGCATATGAATTTCTCATGAAGCAGTTAGAGACAGACAGAGGAACACAGATGAGGTCATGTGTTGAGGAGCAGGAGAGCAGCTGGACTCAACATCATCACACACACACACACACAACCCGCACACACGCGCACACACGTGCACACACGCACGCGCACGCACGCAATATTTAAAGAAAGAACTGACAGTGGTGCTTACACATATGGCTCAGTGCACCACAGCAAGCCTGGAGGGGCTTTCCCAGAGTGTACACACACACAGAGCCTGTCACCTGCTGGCCCAACTCACCCAACCACAAGATCAGAACTGAATTATTAACCATCTTATTATTTCACTGGTGGTCCTCCTACACACACACTCTCACACACAAGGAACTGCAAGTTGTTTTAGTCTAGTGGGGCAGTGTGATGTGGAGTGTGAAGGTAAAAGCCGCTATGGGATTCTATCACGAGGACACATAATTTTGTAGTTAGGAATTATTTAAGTCCCCTTTCTTTTTCTTTCTCACCACCACTGATGATACCAAAGTATCATCAGTAAACTTCATAGCAGGAAATATAAGCCCCTTTCAGACAGGCACCTCTTTCCAAAAATCTGATGGCAATTTTTTCATCTCTGTCTCGTGTCTGAAAAAGCACCCAAGTCACTTTTACGTAAAAATCACAGCAGCAAACAGGTCAGACCTACGCACAAACATTTCTGTAACACTCTCAACACGACGTGAGTCTGAACTGAATGATGTTAGATTAACTCAAAGGCTGCAGGCTGCAACACAGAGGGAAATTAAACACATGTTGTGTTTGCCTGATTAATATCACTTTTATAAATGTGTGACAAACGCTCCATCTCCTATGCTCAAAGAAAATAATATCACTTTAATAAACAGTGTGACTGAGGCTATTTTAAGTTGTTAGGGGGATTCTTCACCAGCGGTGACTGGTCCAAAAGTGAATAAAAAAATACTTGTATAACCACAGTGTTAGTCAGAAGAGCGCTCTCTCTCCTTCTATTTTCAGGTTTTATTCATGCTAACTGTATGGATGAATAAATGAATAGGAATATGAGCAAATAGGAGTTAAACAAAGGAACAACATAACACTTTGTCACTATACACTTGTGCACTGTAGAATATTGGCAATTATGTAACGTAATGATCTGGTGATTAAACTGATGAAAAAATTTACTAGGAGGTTCACAGGAGACTAAGCTGGGGAAGTGTCCCGAGTGAGAAAACAGAAAATCTTCCCAACTCACTCACCACAGTGATCCCACTTCCTCTCGTACACCAGGTGCCAAGTGCTGCACGCACAAGTTTCCTTCTGTAACCGTCCTGTCATGTCTGAATAAAGCCGTCAGCACATTAAGGTAAGAACAACCACTGTACGTCTGCATGACAAAAAGCTAACACTTTACCAGCTTGATAAAACCAGCAGTGTTACGTATTCCATGTCTGAAAAGGGCTATGCTGTAGTTCTGGTCAGCAGGTTAACCACCTTTCTATATCACAACTGTAATGTAAAGCTTTCACACTTCATTAATGGTCCTGAACTCTCCGAATCACTCAGATCTGCCACAGTGTGAAAACTGACCAGAAACTCTCCACTGAGGCCACAGATAAAAAACACCTTTAGAATAACTGTGAAACGCTACAGCAGATGATACTGGCTGGCTGGTAATTATATAACAGCCAAATATCTGCAAACCTTATCATGTAGCACAAAGAACAACCTTGAATTTTTGGATTGACAATAAACAGACACACACATCACAGCAAGCACAAACAGTGATAATAGCAGGAAGTGTGCGTGTGTGTGCATGATACAAAAACAGCCACAGCTGAGGTCAGGAACAATGAAACTATGCTCTATTCTCATGATATTTCATTTTCAAACTGACATCAGCAACATATTCGCCCCTTAGTTCTTTCTTTCTCCTTCATTCCCTTTCGTCTTTCCTCCATGTTTCTTTTCTAAGGTTTAAAGCTTGCTTTTATCCTCCTTCTTTCTTTCGCACTGTTTCTGTAAACTAAGAGCACACGTCTGATCCAAAAATCTTCCTTCCTTCCTTCCTTCCTTCCTTCCTTCATTCCTTACCTTGCCCAGCGGCTTGTTGCTACTATCCCAGTTCCTCTTATCCAGGGAGGGGGGCACCTGGTACACATCCTGCCCAGCTCCTGTCCCCCCAGCTGGGGCTGCTGCCTGGCCTGGCCCTGGGCCTACAGAGGGGGGCACTTGGTAGATGTCCTGCCCAGGCAGCTGATACTGTCTCTGGGCTAGGGCTGGGCCCTTGCTGGGGGGTCCTGGCTGGGTCTGTGGGGGGGGTCCAATTGGGCCAGAGGGGATCTGGTACAGGCTTTGGGGACTTGGTTTGGAGCTGTGAGAAGGGGGCATCATGTAGACAGAGTCAGGATTGGGCTGTGCAGGGCTGGGGGTGGAGTAGGCCGGGTGCATAGACGTGTACTGAGTTGATGGGAGGGGCTTGTTGGCAGCAGACGACGGCACAGCCGTTGGCTTGGTGTAGCCGCCCTGAGGAAGGAGGGGTCGCTGCGCATGTGGGGGCGGACAGGAAGTGGCTGGATCTGGCGTGGAAGGTGTGGTCGGCTGCTTGCTGTCGTACATGCCGACCAGAATCTTGAGACGGTTGCCAGGGACAATGCCTTGGCGGCCGTGGAGGGAGCAGAGCCACCAGCCGTCCAATCCTTGCGTGTCACGCTCCAACACCGTCATGATATCGCCTTTGCGGAAGGACAGCTCGTCCGGAGACTCTGCCACGTTGTCATACAAGGCCTTGGCCAACACGTTCTGTAGAAGAAGGACAGACAGACATATATGAGAATCATACTGTACGTATTCAAACTGGTTCACGTTCATCTACTGTAGCTTTAACAAAAGAAGAAGAAGATATCTGTTGGTCTGTGGGTTTGTTACTGTGTACAGCAAGAAGAACTACAACACAGTGTACAAAAGCGCAGTAAAACAAAACTGAAAGTTTACAGTCAGTACTGTCAGAAGTGCTCTCTGTCATTTTGTTTTTGGTATTTCTTGCCCCAGTATTGGTAGATCATATAGATGACACAGTCAGAACTTAAAAATCAGAGACAGGAACAATAAATCTCATGGATTTCCAACTTGCAATGGGGGAAAGTTGCTTTCATTTCAAAATGTATTTGCTACCACATTTACACATTCTGATATGCACCAAGACATTAAAGAACAGAAATGCCAGGGATCCAGTATGTGTGGGCTGTTTTAGAAACTGTCTCTATTGTCAACTTGAAAAATTATTATTTTTTATTTGTTTATGTAAATATCAAAAATCTTGTATGAGTCAGACTTAGTACAAAGGAAATCAATGCACTGCACCATTTTGTGCAGGAAATGATCCACACAGCTAAATAGGCTGCTTTCTAAAATGACATATGAACATTTTGCACCCTTGTGCTTAATGGTTTGAGTAGGTTTAGGATTAGGGAGATTAAGATTGTGGCTATGGTTAGAAGAAATCAACACTGACTATTGGTAGAAAATAGGATGTAAAGCACTCTTGTGTCATAGTCACATGCTTAGTTGTCTCTAAATCAAATTGGTTTTCTAAAAATGTAACACTTAGTCTCCAGGATCTTCTTGGAGCTGTGAGTAGCTTCTCTGCGACTTTTGTGCAATACATCAGGGATCAATAGTGTCCATCGACAGCACACTCAAAAATAGAGCACGTTTAGTATGCAGCCTCACTTTTAAAGATTCTTTTTTGGTACTTTTCCAGTGTGAACACACTACACACTCAAAATCTGCTTAGAATGAAAATGTAGTGTGGACCTGGAACACAGTAGCTTTGATAAATTGTGCTGAGCCGTGTAAAGTGTTCGCTGTGTTATACGTGAGTAAAACCGAAGAATCCCAGCCACAGCTGTGCATATAATTAGGATGGCAGCTACATGTGTTACCATGCAGCCGGAGAGGGACAAAGTACAAGGACACTAAACTGCTGTTACTGTTTGATAATGGATAGAGTCCGGGGTCAAGTCTGGACATATTAAACATATTAAATGAAGCTGTTAGCTCTAATAAGTGTGTGTAATAAGAGTGCATTTTATAAAATGTATCTGATCTGTAGTATTTCAACATTTAGTGAACAGAATTGAGATCCTACTGCATTGGAGCTGAGGTTTTGCATGTCATCACTGACTGCCAGCAAACACACACACAGTATACACAGCAGCTGGACACTCAGGTGGAAGAAGTCTCAAATTCCACATGGTCAAAGGTGACATTCAGTAAAAGAAACAAAATATAGTTAATTGACAAGCCAGAAGATTTTCCCCATCATGTCCTCCAAACTCTATTTTGGTTGGAATCCTACTAACACACATGCACACGCACATCCATCCGAAACCCAGCGTGCAAACAGAAACACCTCCCCTCAGTCTCTCTGGAACTCGGAAACTAAACCAATATTTGTCGTCCACATCTGAGCTCCGCCTGCTCTCCTCCCTCTCTGAGTTCCACCCCAACTATCACAGAGTAGTACAGCCTGTGCTGGCCCCGCGCCAGCTTCACACACGCACACGCACACACACACACTAACCTAAGCACAAAGCACTGCCCATTTAAATGAGGCCATGTAACTGGCTTCCACACTTCAGTCAGACTTTTCTTTCCCTGCACTGAAGGCCTGTTCATTGCTTCAGAGTGGGCTGGGAATGACACTCGACCCCAATATACTCACTTTATCAAAATAATTCACTGGCTGTGTTAACATGCACACAAAATTCCCTTTTTAGGGAAAGAAAACACATGCCAGATACTCCTCCACAATTATGTGATATTCAGATGCTTTGTGATCAAAAGTCCGTTTTCTTGTCTTCAGTTTGTCATACTTCCCCTACTTCAGCGTTTTGCCTCTCGCTCCATCACTTGCAAGTGGCTCTGCGCTCACCTTAAATATCGGTTTAACATACTAGCAGGAGCTAATGATGGTCCAGTAACAAACTCACTCTTGCGCCCAGCAGTCTAACTTTTGAAAGGTATTTATAGATTCTGGACTATTCTGGATATTCAAGGGGAATTTATTTTATTTTTAAAAGCAGAGTATTTCTATATGTCAAACCATAACTGGAGCTGCTCAATAATGTGTTACTAAATTCTGTGGAGTGCTTGTCGACCCCGCACAGGTGTGTCTGTGTGTGGCCACCCCCTCGATACACTAGTGTTGTAGTGTTGTAACTGATTGATTTCTGCCTTACAAGAGCTGGTTCAATCCCTTGGTGTTTTTAACCATTTAAAACAAAGTCTCTCTCAGTAGGGATCCTTTCCATAGTGTTGTCAGACACTTAATATGTATAATAATAACAATCTGAGCCTGTCAGTTGCAAAAACAAGCACTTTGTAGACGTACAATTGCCTGCAAGGATTACTTTGCAGCCCTGTCTCGGTGCAGCGAGCTACTCAATACTGGACCAATTTCAAAATATGTTGTCCCAATTAACTACTTAGACACAAAAACATGGGCAAATAGTGTCCAGGTTGAAAATGTCATAGTTAGCCTTTAAATCGACTGTCCATACAGGATCAAGTCTTGTCAGAGAACTGCACCTGCCCAGAGAATATAGATCAGTACGTTGGCTGGGAATGCTGCACACCCCTGAAACTCAGGACGCATTTGTTCTAAGTTCTCACCTTGCAGCAGAGATACAGAAGTGTGCTCCAGGGTGTGTCAGGATGGCGTGACATCACAGTTGACCGTACCCAACAGAGGGCAATAGTCTGGAAACTTTCAACCAGAGAAGTCAGTCAGTCCCTTTGGTGTTCATTTACTCTTTAATGCCACATTTATGTTTGTTGACCAAATTCCCAGAGGACGGTAAACATGTAGGACTATCAGCTAGTAGTTTTACATTATTTTCTGTCCAAATCATTCCCATTGCTAGTTAACAGTAACCACGGTATGCTCCTTTCTTGTACAGGAAGAACTCTTAATTGTAGATGTCTTCTGATACAGGTAAATGTCAGGAGCATCAGGACAGATGACTATTAGGCTCATCATTTGTTTCCTCTAACTGGGTTAGTCTGCCATGGAAATCAGAGATACACTCATTCAGATATACTGTATCTGCCGTGTTATAGTCCCTCTGGCTTGTACGATATGTGCACACTCTCCAGAACCGCTGCCAATCAGCTCTGTTTCTTTGGAGGATGAACACGCGTCTCTGTCTGTTCTCTGCTCTTTCTAAAATTGTTGGGTCTCAGTAAATAATTGTACAAAGAGTTTGGTCTAGACACACACACAGACACACACCTTCCAATGTCCAGAGAAACAGGAAGTGCAGGATGATTCACACAGCCTCATGATTGAAGGATGAGTCAGCGACTTGACCCTGAGGTCTCAGAATCAGCCTGAATAGATTCTCATGCCCTCTCTATTTCTGTCACGTTGTGAGTTGAATAATGAAGTTAGATGCTCCCCAAATGTAGCTGCCATAAAAAGGGATCGGTTCAAGAATGAGACCTAATCGTGTACCTCATTTTAAGGCGGTACCTTCTGCGTACTGGATAGGGCTAAAGAATTTCAAATGATGAAAATGTCTGCTGAGAAGATTCCGACTACAGTTCACCATCTACCAGCTGTCAGTCATTCAACCACTACCTAGCTAACTAGTTGCTAATTTGTAATTCGGTTAATTCACAGAATTTACGTTAATTAGTTGCAGCGGGCTTAACTTGTTGGCAAGATTTTAGCTACACCTTCAGAGCCATTTTTTCCCAGGTTACAACATTGTTAATAATATAATTAAAATTATCGTGATGTGAAAATTATTAATGTAGTTAACTTCAATAGTTTTTTGGCACAAATATGTCAGAAAGTATTGAAAACTGCCATGAAATGAAAGTTAGCATTGAATATCTGGTAAGATTTGTTCTTAACTTCAAATGAAAAAAGTATCATTTTGGTATTGATATTAAAACTCATATTGGCACTAATTTTGCCAATTTTAGACATTACCCAGCCAAGCAACTTCTTATTCCAAGCAGTTTCTCTACAGCAGTGTGCATATCTGTCAACACCAAACCCAGCATGTTGGATCCCAATATGTTGTCGCAACAAACAGAGGTGACTTTGGGATTCATAGCAGGTTTTTGTAAAACAGAAGTAGAGAGGCTAGAGAACAGAGAGAGAGAGAGAGAGAGAGAGAGAGAGAGAGAGAGAGCACTGGACAGAAATAGGAAGCGGAGACATTTCCATTTGCTTCTTTCCCTTGCGCTTTGCTCCTGAACGTGAACCTGTAAAGTACATGTCTACTCTTGCTAAATATTTTCTAAATTCCACACCTGAATCCCTGAACAACACCAGCTGTGTTGGCTATACTAACGAACTGGTGAACACACATGGTCTTCCACATAAATACAAGGGTCCAGATGCAGATTCTTCCAGACGTTTTCTCACTTCTGATGTTGCTGAACACCTGCTACAGATGAACACTGAAATAGCAGTGTGGTCAGTGTCAGCTCTTGATGGTGACATGTTATTGGATCCAGGATGTGTCTTTGTGAGTGAAAGCTTCTAATTTGGTCAACTTAAACAAGACATCAGCCGAAAGTCCTGTCCAACAACAACAGGAGTGTCTATTGGTTTGCTGCAACACAGAAAGAGGGAGGATACAGTAGGGTCCACCCAGTTCATGAATATCCCTTTAAGAAAGAGATGGTTCAGATGGTTTTCAGTCCAAACTGTTAGACCCATGACAGACCCTAGGACAGCAGCATCGCAAAGCTGCACACAAGTCAGTCACAGTGGAAGCCTTGAC